GGGAAGTCCCCTTAGCTTATTTTTTGATGCAAACCTGTTTCCCTAGGCTTCCCTGGTGGCGCAGTGGTTAAGAATCCACCTGCCAATGCAGGGGACGCAGGTTCGAGCCCTGGTCCACGAAGATCCCACGTGCCACGGAGCAACTAAGCCCATGCGCCACAACTACTGAGCCTGCATGCCACAACTACTGAAGCCCACACGCCTAGAGCCTGCTCCCTGCAACAAGATTAGCCACCTCAATGATAAGTCCACGCACTGCAACAAAATGTAGCCCCTGCTCGCCACAACTAGAGAAAGCCCACGCACAACAACGAAGACCCAACGCAGCCAAAAATAAATAAATAATTAACCAAAAAAAAGAAAAAACCTGTTTCCCCCACATTGTGAGTGCTCCCTACTTCTAAGACAAGCAGTTGAAGTTGAATGATACCATGATTCTCATTGTTCACCGTAGTTGTGTTCTATGACGTCACTACAAACGCTGACTTCATGAATGCAGCACCATCATTCCTGGGAGCCTCTGGTCACGACACTTTTGTCAACCAGTCAATACAGAAACTTGTTTCGTATGTGTTTCTGTCTAGAGACACTTTAAAGTGTATAGTTGACTCATTGACAACGAACCATGGTCGGCGGCACCGTAACTCAGGCCTGGATGATGCCTGAACCAGCACATGGATTTTCTCCACAAGCCACATCAGTGCCTTCCTGTGCTTAGGATGCTAGCCAGCACTGCAGCACTGTGCTTGGGGCCATTTCAAACAGTGAAACCACCAACAGAAAAGCACAAAAATGTGAAAAACGTGGCACTCGGTAGACCAGAAGAAGGACATTTGTTTATAGTCTGAGCTTGTTTGACCTCAGCTGGGAACACACACACTGGGCAGTTCACATATTCTGCCTCTCTCTCTGCAAATGACCACAAAAGCACCACAAGTATTGATTTGAAGTTATAAATAAATTTTAGTGAGTAGGTGAATTTGCAAATATGGACTCACGATACTGAGGATTGACTGTAATTTCATTGTCTCCCCCCACCCCCATCAGATTGAACCTTAGAATTGGAAGGAATGTTTAAAGTCAGCTAATTTAGCCCCTTCATTTCACATAGAAGAGAAATATGTGCCATAAATTTAAACATTGTGTGTTTAAAACACCTTATAGCCCAATTAATCATGGGCAGCCCTGTCTAAATTAATATACTGGATTAGCCTCTTTTTTTTTTTTTAAGCTCAATTTTATTTGCAGCCTAAATGATCGTCTATGGTTTGATAATCAAAAGTAATTTCATCTAAGGAAAATCCTACATGTGGACTAACCTGAGTAAGAAAGTCACAGAATCTCTGCCTCAGACTCTCATGACCCTCCTTCCCAAAACGGTCATCCTGGAACATAGACCCAGGAAGTGACTCAGAACCTCCTTGCTGTCCCCATACAGATGGCCCCAGGCCCTCCCACAGACCATGTTGCCTTCCCAAGTCTAATAAGTCTGTGCCAATTAACCCCTCTCCATCCAATCATGACCCTTTAGAAGATGGGTGCAGGGATTTCCTGGTTGACCTTCTGGTTGACCTTCATGGATGACCCTCTGTTGTCATGGTCCTCGGCTTTGCAGCAGCCTCTCCACCCCCAGACGGATGCCAAATACCACAGGGGGAAGGACACTGCTGCTTTCTGGTTCTGCTGGGTCGCCAGCTCCACGTGACCTCAGGACTGTCGGGGGAGGAACTGAGCACTGCCCGCTTGGCCCCAGCCCTGCGCGTGGAAAGGTGGCGTCACCCTGGGGATGCTCGGGGCCAAGGCACAGGTCTGGCCTTGCAGCTGAGCTGGGAGAGGTCTTCAAGGTGGGAGTGAGGAATACAGGCAGACCTTGGAGATATTGTTGGTTCAGTACCAGACCACCGCAATAAAACAAGTCACATGAATTTTTTGGTTTCCCAGTGCATATAAAAGTTACGTTTCCAATGTGCCGTAGTCTGGTAAGTGTGCAACAGCATTATGTTTAAAAAGACAATGTACTTACCTTAATAGAAGATACTTGATCGCCAAAAAAGGCTCACCATGATCTGAGCCTTCAGTGAGTCATAATCTTTTTGCAATAGTAACATCAAAGATCGCTCATCACAGACCACCAGAACTTTTAATAATAATACTGAAGTGTTTGAAGTATTGTGAGAATTACCAAAACGTGACACTAAGTGAGCGAATGCTTTTGGAAAAGTGTCGCCGACAGACTTGCTTGTCACAGGGTTGCTGTAGACCTTCAATTTGTACAGAACGCAATTAAGCGAAGTGCAGTGAAAGGAGGTGTGCGTGTGCTGACCTGTAGTGGCTTCCCAGCTTGAGCAGAAAGACGCGGGGAGGGAGAGAGCTTCTGTCCATGGCCCACCTTCTCCTGCTTTGCCCAGCCACTTGGTTTACTAGAAAACATTTCTGCCTCTGGCTCTGAATGTCACTGATGCCATAAGATTCTAAGCGTTGTGAGCGCCTTGAATTTAGTGAACTGCGAACTTGTTTCTACGCATTTACAAGCAATTAGATGGTATTATGTACTAGAGAATACTGGAGGGAGGTACCGGGAAGTTACTATGAAGCCTGTGGGCTGGTAGCCCTCCCCGCTCAGGAGAAGGGAGCTGCTGAGGGCCCTTAGGATGAAGGAACATCTGGAAGGTCCATAATTAAGTCTGACGTGTGGCTCAGCAGGGAGTGCCGCGTCTCTGTCCCCAGAGCCCTCTTCTAAGGAGGGCAGCCCCCCGAGCTTGAATATCACTGGGGCTGGAGGGAGGTCTTATAGGACCTTTGACTCCTCGGTTCCCCTAGGTCCTGGGAAGATGGCTTTGTGCACAGACAACAATTTCGGGAGCTTAGTAGCAGAGGAACATTTTCGGTTATCTTGGGAGCTTTAAGATCTCTCTAAATCAGTTTTGGTGATTAAAGTACAACTTATCTTTGTTTGTGTTTCTGTGCATTGTTTAACCTAAACCCTGCAGCTTCTGTGCATCAGACTGGCCAACCTTTGTGACCTCAGGGGCCTGGCAGCTGGGGTCCCTGAGCCAGAGTAAAAACAGCAGATTGCAAGAGGCTTTGACAATCTTGTTGAGGATGTCACATGCCCTGAACTGCGCTTTCCTCTAGATGTCCGCACCAGGGCTGGGCCCAGGGAGGCGGCCGTCAGGGGGGTCGGGCTGCCCTTCTTTTTTCTCCTGCTCCTATTCTCTGAATGCCTGCACCTCATCCCTAGGATTAAGGTTTCCTGGCTGGGATCCCATGTCTGTTTCTAGCGGGCCTCTCACTGTTGTGGCCTCTCCCGCTGCGGAGCACAGGCTCCGGACACGCAGGCTCAGTGGCCATGGCTCACAGGCCCAGCCGCTCCGCGGCATGTGTGATCTTCCCGGACCGGGGCATGAACCCGTGTCCCCTGCATTGGCAGGCGGACTCTCAACCACTGCACCACCAGGGAAGCCCCATTATGACTTTTGTTTCTGTTTCACCCCCATCTTGCTCTTCAGCCCAGGAGAGCATGGGGTTGTTTAGTGAGTCCTCACACGGAGGGGTCCCCTCCCCCCAGCACCCACGCTGCCTTCTTAGTGCAAGAGGGCCAGGAATAATTTACCTGGAGGTACTTGAGTGCCCGGTGGGGCTGGAACTCTCCAGGGCTTTCTTTTCTGTGCTGAGTCTCCCGCAGCGGGGGGCCCACTGACCTGTAAACACAGACAGTGAAACTTGGGAGAAGGCAATGGAAGAAATCAGCATCTCTAAATCAGTTTAGGATGTATGCAAATCATGTTTTCAAATATTTAGAGAGTCTCTGAGGGAATTACATCACTGTTTATAAGTGTTTTGATTGTTTTTTATGACTCGGGCCCAGTCGAGCCAAGCGACGTAATTCCTGAGATAGTGAGCCCACGCTGCCCCAGAGGGAAGTTGGGCATAATGGGAAAAGTGCTCCCCATAATAAACAGAGCGCTGGCCAAGCGGTGGGGAATTATTCCTGTGCTGCTGGGCAGAGGGTGGCCTTTGTTCAGTTTACAGACCATTAGGGTGAGCCACGGTGGTGCAGACTCAGAGGGTGGCCCGGCTGGGGCTCTGCAGCAGCATCGTGTGCAGGCTTGTCTGCTCCATCTGGGGAGCATGTGAGAAAATCCTGGTGGAACTGAGTCTTGAATGACTGGAGCTTGGTGCCTGTCCTCAGATTCCACCCCAGATGATAAAGCTCCCGCGAGTTTGTACAGAGAACTGTCACCCACTCCCTTCACGGGGCAGGGGAGGAAGGGGCCCCCAGCCTTCAAGCAGACGGTCCTGAGCAGACCATCTCCTGTCCAGTCACTGTGGCCTCGACCAGTACATTCAGCACAAGAGGCCAGGTCCGGCCCTGGGTCCCTTGTCTGTCTCCTCTTTCCTAGTTATTTGAACAAGAGTGTGGGTCCACACAAGCTGGGCACGTCTGGGGACTCAGAGCCTCAAACCCCAGCTCTGCCTCTCAGTAGCTCTGTGACCTTGGGCACGGTCCTCGATCTCTCTCTGGATCAAAAGGGTCGGTTCTCGTGAATTCTCACAACAGGGGCTGGTGTCCGGCATGCAGCCAACTCAGGAAATGTTTGCTGTTGTTATCATTCAGCATCACGACTTATATCTTCAAGGCCAGTCTTTGAGACAGAAGTGCTGGGGTTTTAAAGCCTTGCAGATCCCAGGCGTTGAGGAGATGAGCTGACCAAAGGGTTAGAGCACCGAGGGGGCGGATCCATGGGTACGTTAGTAGAGTCTGCACAAGAAGACATTTTTTAAATGTCTCTAAGCAAAAAAAAAAAAAAAAAAAAAAAAAAAAAAGTCTCTAAGCAAATTCCAGAATGATAAACCTCTTCTGGGCAGGTGATGTAACCCCGACAGGCACTTCTGAGTGTAAGACCAAGGGGCTGCGGCCGGGAGGCCTGGATCCGTCCCCGTAGTGCACGACTGAGGGCTTCAGGTGCCAAGTACTAAGCCCCTCCCTCCTCCACCAGGAGCATCCCCGTGGTGCAGATGCTGAGGACCAGCGCCCTGACCACCGCCTGTGCCGACCACTCGGACCAGCGTGTGAGCTACCTGGAGCACGTGGTGGCCCGCATCACCATCTCCCACCCACGCCGAGGAGACCTGCAGATCCATTTGATTTCTCCCTCAGGGACCAAGTCTCAGCTTTTGGCGAAGAGGTAAATCTAGGCTGGCCTAGGGGGCCGGGGCGGGAGCCAGGCTCACCTCAAGGTCACATGGCCCTGTAAGGCACACGGCACATTGGGGGTCTAGCTGTTTCTGCCTCTTGAAGACACTCACACATAGACCCAACAAACCTGAAAAAATAGCCTCCTGCAACCTGCCCTTCAAAGCTGCCCTGGGAAACTCTCCATTTCAGGCAGTAAGTAGTTACAAAGGTTTGTGGTTGTTTCATGGCTTAGTGGAGAAATGCATGGAATTCTGGCCATGACTTCATTGCTGAGGTCATTGGAGATCATTTTTATCATATTCATTCTGCATTTTAAGTGAGAACGTGTGTCAGAGGAGCACTGTTTTGTGTCCTGGGGTAGAGCCTGCAGGGGCAGGAGGCTCTGAGGGAGACAGACGCACAGGTGTTGGGAGGCTTCTGTCTGTGGAGGTCTTGCCCATGCACTAGGATGGTCCCTGTGGAACAGATGCTCTGAGGGAGGCTCTGAACTCTTGGAGCCCGATGCACAGTTTGTGGTGCCCGGTTTGTGCAAAGCTATGGAGTCATTTCTTCGACAGACTTCGAGACAAGAAGCGCTTTGCTGTGTTTATGTGACTTGTCATCAGAGTGAAGGGGTATCGGGAGCTCAGGGGAGGCTAGAGGGGCCTGGGCCTCCTTTTCCAGCTCCTTCCAGCTACAAGGCAGAGGGAGAAAAAAGGTTTCACGGACAAATCAGCATTTCCCGCTTCTCTTGAAAAACGGAACTGGCAGTCGTGCCCAGTACCCCTCAGGATGCACCCTGAGACTGCCCTGCCTGCTGGACCGCAGCCCCCGCTGCCTGCGTGCTGCATCTGGGCCCCCTGGCCTCATTTGGGTCCCCTGCCCAGGACTGCAGCCCTTTCTTGGGGCTGCAGGATTCAGAAATGGGGGTGAGTGACAGCCTCCAGACAGGACCAGGCAGGAGAGGGGCCCTTTTTCTTGATGCCCCTCTGTCCCCGGCTGCTCTGCTTGACACAGAGAGAGGCAGTCGACCTCCATCAGAGAGAGGGGAGTATGCTGTGTCCTCCTGGGCACCCCCCCCTGCCTCCCCAGCAGCCCAGTCTCTCTGTGGCAGGAGACTGTGGGCCCAGCCCTGGGCTTGTCCTCAGTGCGCTGGACACACCTGAGGACCAGACCCTGGCTTCATCAGCTCCCAGGGCTTGGGCACCAAGCTTGGCCCCTGCTGGGCTCCCCTCTCATAGCACAAGAGTGACAGGTGGCATCTCCCCTCTGAAGGTAGGCCCAGGCCACCCTCTGCACATGGGATACCACCACGGGCATGAGTATTTTGAGGGTGCCAGCTGGCAAGCTACAGCTTTGTGCTATTTTGCAACCAGAGTTGTTGTTGTTATTAATCAGAACTTGTAGAGATTTCCTTTAAAAGTCCAAATTTCTAGTGTTCCTTGAAAAATTGGAAGCTGTCCAACACTGGGCTCACGTTCCAGAGCAAATACTCACTAGAGCACCGCAGGGCCCTGTCCTTGCACCAGCACTGAGGCCAGGTATGGGCCGCTCGTGCCCAGGCTCTCATGAGGTCACCTCGCTGGACCCCCATTTGCTCCAGGCCAGATGCCTAGAGGCATCCAAGTTGACAACCCTTGAATCTGAGGCAGGAGCTGGGTGCAGACTCCAAATGGTGGCCTGCATTGACCTTGAGCACGGGGAGGCTTGGGGTGGAGGCCACAGTGACCAGGAAGGGCTGGCGTGGGCTCTGGAGCCCAGAGGCCTGAGCTCACAACCTGCTCCTTCACCTCCCAGTGGGGCATCTGGGAGCTGGCCGTCACTCCTCAACTCTGGAAACGTCCTGTGACCCCTCCCTCACAGTTAAAAGTATTACAAGAACTGGATGTGATTATACAGGTGGAAATGCTGGCATGGTCCCTGGCTCAGGGGCTGGCTGTGCTCCCATCCTGCTTACACCTGCCTACCCGTCAGCAGAAACCTTCCAGCACCCGGCTCTGTGTTCATCCCTTCCTAACTTCCATTCCTCTGCTCAGGCCCAGGGTTGGAGCCCCTGGGATGAGAGAGCGGGCGCTGCTGAGCTCACCTGGTTCACAGCTGCCCGCTCCCTGGGTCACGCTGAGCCAGCGCCATCAAGCATGCTCAACCCGTCTGGAGCCACTGGGCCGTCATCTGAGTCTTGGGAATTTGGTTTTTTCCAAGGCAGTTTGTGTGATTCTACCAAGAATTTGTGTTTTAGGATCCAATCGCTTCTCGGCCTTTTGGCTAAGATCAAGTGTAGGATCGATTACCTTCTACTTTATTTCACATCTTGCTTAATTCAGAAGATTTTTCAGGTTTCCAGGTGTTTTTCGCTCCGAGTAAGCTGACATCTTAAGTACCTCAGCCCTTGAAAGAGCTTGTCTTTGTTCTGTCCCCAGTGCCCTAGATTCAGTCTGGCATCGTGTGTGAAGACCAGCCTTGACCTTTGTGGTTTCTTAGAAGAAAGTAGAGGTTTTCCCCTCCCCGCACTGTTCTCCTCGCAAAGCACATTTCCTTGATGAACATTTTTGTACAATGGATGTTTGGAGAACCCCCAATTGGGAATTGAATCTGACATCACACAAGACATATACCTGAATTTCTGATGAACAGTAAAGAGCCTCTACATTAAAAAATTGTTATTCCAAAATAGAGATAGAAAATTAGGCTGTGAAGGAAGAGTCCAGAATTGTTCCTTCTACAGAGACTGAGGGGCCCTGGGTGCTGGAGAGGGAGGGTGTCCATGAGTTGCTCCCTGTTTCTGCCTGAACCAAGCGTGAGGAAATGGACCGGGGCCAAAGGTCCAACAGGAAGGACCTTCTTCCAAGTCTGGAAGGACTGAGGAGGCTCTTGCACCTGCAGGGGACACGGGCCATGGGAGGAGCGCCCAGGGGTGCCTCCTGCCCGCAGTGGAATACCACCAGGCCTGTTGTGTTCTCTCCCCCAAATGCAGCTGTGGAAACCTGCTAAGCCCTGGAGATTAAGGGACAACATCTTTCCCACAAGTTTGAGTAGTTGCTCATTTTTTCTTACTTGTATCTTCTGGAGAAGAACCACAAGAGCTGGCTCTCAGACAAATGTGAAAGATTCCTTCGTTCCATAACCCAGCATTTTAGAAAGGCCTCCTCTGTGATGACCTTGTGGCTTTGGGGGAAGGATGGTGTGGCCCAGCCTCCATCCAGGAACTGGGGGTCACAGGCTCTGTAGGATCCCTCCTGGGGTGGAACATGGGGGCATTCGTTGGTGATGGAGAGAACCCAGGACAGGAGTCAGAATGCCCTTGAGGGCATTCCATCTCAGCCAGTCACTGGAGGGGGGACCTGCAGTAGATCCCTACTCCCGGGGCCTCTCGTCTGCGAATTAGGGTGGGGGGAGGAGCCCACTGCGGACCCAGCCCCTGCCTTATGCTGGCGCCACCTGTGCAGCCTGACTGCCTTCCTTTCAGAGTGTTTGGAGACCCAGTGAGGTAACGGAAGTGAAGGTGCTGTGCAGGGCTGTGCTGCACAGCCAGGGCCTGAAGGCATCAGCGTCTACTGCACCTTCACGCCAGCCATGGGCCAGGCCCCTTCTGCCCTGGGAGGCACATCAGCCAACTGTGCAGTCACCTGGGCATAGTTCCCAGGCAGGAGAGCCCTCGGTGGGCTGGTCACCCCGGCCACCATCCCTTTGGGGACCCTGTGTTCTGACCCCACGTTTCCGATTGCAGGTTGCTGGATCATTCCAACGAAGGCTTTACAAACTGGGAGTTCATGACTGTGCACTGCTGGGGAGAGAAGGCCGAGGGGGAATGGACCCTGGAAATCCAGGACATGCCATCCCAGGTCCGCAACCCAGAGAAACAAGGTCAGTGGGTCTTCAGAAAGTCCCAGCAACTTTTGTATTTCAATCCTTTTGTTAACTCTAGACTTTTATTCAACTACAGTACCTGGATTATTCTTTGCTGTTGTTTTTTCTTGGAGGTAAAATTTACATAATATAAATGTCACTGCTTAAATTGTTGTTAAGTGTACAATTCCATGGCTTTCAGTGCCTTCACAGTGTTGTGCAGCCGTCACCACGATCTAATTCCAGAACTTTGTCATCACGCCAGAGGGAAATCCCAGTACCCATTAAACAGTCGCCCCCATTCCCCCACCCCTCCCAGCTCTTAGCAACTCCTCACCTATTTTCTGTTTCTGGATTTGCCTCTTCTGGACGTTTCATATAAATGGAATCATACAACACGTGACCTTTTGTGACTGGCTTCTTTCATTTAGCTTGATGTTTTCAAGGTTCGTCCGTACTGTAGCAGGTGTCAGTGCTTCTTTCCTTTATATGACTAAATACTCTCCCACATTTTGTTTATTCATTCATCAGTTGGTGGACAGCTGGGTTGTTTCTACTTAATAGCTATTATGAACATCCATGCACAAGTTTCTGTGTGGACATGTGTTTTCAGTTCTTTTGGCTGTATACCTAGGAGTGTAACTGCTAGGTCATATGGTAACTGTGTTTAACTTTTTGAGGAACTGCCGAACTGTTTCACAGTGGCCAGACCATTTTACATTTCTGTCAGCAAGATATGAGGATTTTAATTTCTCTACCAGCACTTTTTTAAAATTATAACCATCCTACTGGATGAGAAGTGGTATCTCATTGTGGTTTTGATTTTCATTTCTTTTATGATTAGTGATGTTGACCATCTTTTCATGTGCTTCTTGGCCATTTTATATCTTTGGAGACATGTCTATTCAAGTCTTTTGCCCACTTTTAAATTAGATTGTTTGTCTTTTATTATTGAGTTATAATCATACAACAGGAGTTGAGTAAGAGTTCTTTAAATATTCTGGATACTAGACCCTTATCGGTTAATATGATTTGCAAATTTTTTCTCCCATTATGTGGGTTTTTCTTTCACTTTATTGATAGTGCCCTTTGGTGCACAAAAGTTTTGTTTTTTTGTTTTTTTTGCGGTATGCGGGCCTCTCACTGTTGTAGCCTCTCCCGTAGCGGAGCACAGGCTCCAGACGCGCAGGCTCAGCGGCCATGGCTCACGGGCCCAGCCACTCCGTGACATGTGGGATCCTCCCGGACCGGGGCATGAACCCACGTCCCCTGCATCAGCAGGCGGACTCTCAACCACTGCGCCACCAGGGAAGCCCTGGTTGTTTTGGTTTTTTTTTTTTTAATTATTTTATTTATTTATTTTTGGCTGCATTGGGTCTTCGTTGGTGCGCACAGGCTTTCTCTTGTTGCAGAGAGTGGGGGCTACTCTTTGCTGTGGTGTGTGGGCTTCTCATTGCAGTGGCTTCTTTTGTTGCAGAGCATAGGCTCTAGGCACTCCAGCATCCGTAGCTGTGGCACATGGGCTTAGTTGCTCCGCAGCATGGGGGATCTTCCCGGACCAGGGCTCGAACCCGTGTCCCCTGCATTGGCAGGTGGATTCCTAACCTCTGCACCACCAGGGAAGTCCTGAAACCTATGTTTTCTTCTAAGAGTTTTATAGTTTTAGCTCTATACGTTTAGGACTTGGATCCATTTTTAATTACTTTTTGTATGTAGCGTGAGATAAGAGTCCAAATTCATTCATTTGCACGTGGCTTTCCAGTTGTCCCAGCACCATTTGTTGCAAAGACTGTTCTTTCCCCAGTGAATGGTTTTGACACCTTGTCTAAAATCAATTGGCCATAAATGTATAAGCTTGTTTCTGGACTCCCAACTCTATTGCACTGGTCCATAGGTCTCTCCCTATGTCAGTAACACACTGTTTTGATTACTGAAGGTTTGTGGTAAGTTTTTTTGTTTGTTTGTGTTTTTTTGCGGTATGCGGGCCTCTCACTGTTGTGGCCTCTCCCATTGCGGAGCACAGGCTCTGGACACACAGGCTCAGCGGCCATGGCTCACGGGCCCCGCCGCTCTGCAGCATGTGGAATCTTCCCAGACCGGGGCACGAACCCGTGTCCCCTGCATCGGCAGGTGGACTCTCAACCACTGCGCCACCAAGGGAAGCCCTGTAGTAAGTTTTGAAATCAGGGATATGTGGGTCCTCTGACTTTTTCTTTTTCAAAATTGGTTTGGCTATTCGGGGGTCCCTTGCAATTCCATATGAATTATAGGATCAGCTTGTTAATTTCTGGAAAAAGAGTAGTTGGAATTTTGATAGAGATTTTGCTGAATCTGTGGGTCAACTTGGAGAGTATCGCTGTCTTAACATCATGAAGTTTTCCCATCCGTGGACACAGATGTCTTTCCATTTATTTAGGGCTTCTTTCAGCAGTATTTTGTAGTTTTCAGTCTACTTCCTTGGTTATATTTGTTCCTAAGTAGTTTATTCTTTTTGATGCTATTGTAAATGGAATGGTTTTTTCAATGTTTTCAGATTGTTTACTTCTCTGGTAATTTTTGCTCCCTTTCATAACTCTTAGCTAATAATCGTCTGTTTAACCCATCTTTATTAAATGCCTGCTACTGGCTAGGCGTTGATCTAGGTGACAGGGTACATACACCAGGAAGGAAAAGCAGGTAACTGTGATGTCTTGTCCTGTAGTCACCACCGAGGTGCTGAGCTCTACCGAAGTCCCTCTGTCGGGTTCCTGGTGGAGTGCAGGGACTGTGCTCCAGTCTGGCTTGTCTGTGGAACAATTTTACCCAAGGTTTGTTTTCTCTGATCAGCTGTTCCCTGCAGCCTTCTCTGCAGACATGCTCTTCTTTTTGATGACCCTAAACCCTTCCTCTGCCCTGGTTCTTTTCTGATTCTCTGTAAAACAGTTTCACGGATTTTTTTTTTTTAATTGGGGAGAAGAGAGGAGCATTGACTTGCTTTATGCAAAAAAATTGACTTTAAGTGATCAAGTCGTCTCCGAGGTCCCCCTACCCGCCCCCCAAATCACTTTCTTTCTGCCTTTAAAATAATAAATATTATGCAATACATTAGTGGAACAAATTCTGAAAATACAAAAACTTAACATTTTAAATTACTTGAAATTGACGTCTTTTAAAACTAGACGCTCCTCAATTAGTCCTTTAAAAGCCCCAGAGTGCATCGGCCCTATTAAAGGTCCAGGGTCGGCTTGTCAGGCCGGCTGCATCCCCTGCGCCATGGGCAGAGGCAGAGTCCCCGCGCCAGCCGGCACCACCCCGGCCACTCGTGCAGGGGAGCAGTGAAGGCCGTGCATCCACACGCCACAGCCAGCTTGGCTGTTGGAAGCGCGGGATGAGCCTGGTGGGTGTTCATGTTTCTCAGCACTTAGTAAGTCAGGGCTCCTCTCTGGACCTCAGCATCCTCGGCTGGGACGTGGAGCTGAGCTGGTTGCTCTTCTGACTGTGGCCTGTGTGGTACGTCCACATCCTGGAAGGGGCCTTGCTGGCCTGGATGCTCCTGTGCTTCTGGCCTGTCCAGACCCCACTCCTCTTCCAGACCCAGCTCCAGACAGCCTGCTGTGGGGCTGGGTGGGCACGGAGCAGGCAGGCGCCTAGGAGACCCCGGGCCTCCTCGTCTAGCGCTCCCACTGGGGTTTTGTCAACACGCAGGTGGCGATGCAGTGTGCCCGGTGGTGGCCGAGACGTGGCAAGGCCAGATTGCGCCGAGCTTTGTGGACTGTCGTCAGGACTGATGTTGGTGGGACGCCCCGGAGGGATTCTGAGCAGAGGAGGGGGATGGTCTGAACCACCATGTGAACAGGGTCACTCTGACAGCTGGATCGGAGTGACTGAGTGTGGCTGGAGTGGGGAGAGGGCAGAGGCGGGGGTGGGGGGGCAGTTAGGAGGCCATTGCAGTGTGAGGTGAAGGTGACCCTGACTGGGGCAGGGGCCAGCAGTGGAGGTATTGAAAGCAGCTGGTTCCTAAACTAGAGTCAAGAGGACATGCTGACAGATCAGATGTGGGTGCTGAGAGGAGAGGGGGCCCTGAGGACTCTGGAGGTTTGTCCTGTGCGTCGGGAGAAGGGAGTGCAATTTCCTAGATCTGGGACATCGTGGGGGAGTGGGTGCTGGGGGGAGGGTCAGGAGCTCAGTTTGAAGGTGCCTGTGACATATACAGGTAGAGAAGTGGACCTGGAGGCCGGGTGCACACATTTCAGTGCTGTGGGGCAAATGGCGGGTCTTGAAAGCCACGCGTGTGGACGGGCTCCCCCAGGGGTGAGTGGGGTGACCCTCTGCCTGCAGGATGTGGGCGCCGGAAGGGAACCTGTTTCCGTAACGATTCCACACGGGTGCACATGCCGAGCTGGGGGCTGCTTCGGTGCAGCTCAGAAGTGCGTGCTGTGCACCTCCCCACCACCCCCATCCTGCCCATCCGCTCCCCGCCTCTGGCCTGCACCGCATGCGCTGGCTCTGCCCTTGTCCTGCTGACATTTGCTCTCTGGAGTCTGGTCCTCCGGCGGCTGCTGTATCCCCAGTGCCTCCTGCTGCATGGCTAGTGATGGACACAGAAGATGTTTGGTAAACGAACGAGGACAGGTGTGATCAGCCCGTGACTGACGCTCTGCCTGCTGCAGAGGACACAGGCTTAGCGGAGGAGGGGGCAACCCCGAATTAAGTCCTGAGACAGGCCGTCTCCCTCCCTGAGTGTGGGTGGCATCTGGGCCTGGGCCGGTTGAGACCGGTGCAGAATACACACCCCCTGGTACCTTCTAGCTCTGACCTTCTGTGACCTGCTGGGCTCTGGGGGGCGGGGACCCTTCCTTCAGTGTTGTCACAGAGGGTCTCCTCGCGCCTACAGTGGCCCCTGGGGTGGGTTCATTTGTCTGAGCTCCACCCTGTAGAAACACCATTCCTGAGGCAGCCTTACGGAAACAGGGGTGGCCAGTGGCTGTTGACAAACCACACGCCTGCTTCCCGGGAAGGACGAGGTCGGGCTCTCCGTC